AAATGGTTAGGAGTATGATGAGTAATTCTTCTTTACCCTCATCATTGTGGATATCGTTGCATCAGATCGTTGCATCATTATTAAACAGGATTCCTAGTAAGGCAGTTCTAAAGACTCCTTTTGAACTGTGGACAGGAAGGAAACCTAGTTTAAGGCACATGTTGTTTGGGGTTGCCCAGCGGAAATAAGGTTATATAATTCACATGAAAAGAAACTGGACTCAAGAACAACCAATGGTTTCTTCATTTGTTATCCAGAAAAATCTAAAGGGTATAGATTTTTTTGTCCCAATCACAGTACAAGAATTATTAAAACTGAAAATATTAAGTTCATTGAAAATGGTGAAGTGAAAATGGTGTGAAAATGGTGAAGTTAGTGGGAGTTTGGAACCAAATAAAGTGGAGATCCAAGAAATTAGGGTTCAAGTTCCTTTACCCAAAATTATTTCTCAAGTTGTTATTCCTACAGTTATTGAACATTTTGATAACTTACAAGAACAACAAATATATGATCAAATACCCCACAATGAAACTATCACTAATGAACCTACATTAGATGAACCGCATGAAGTAGTACCTAGAAAGTCTCAACGACAAAAACGATTTGCTATTTCCGATGATTATGTGGTTTATCTTCATGAATCCGAATTTGACTTTAGAGTCAATAAAGATCCAGTTCACAATGAAACTGTCACTAATGAACCTACATTAGATGAACCACATGAAGTAGTACCTAGAAAGTCTCAACGACAAAAACGGTCTGCTATTTCCGATGATTATGTGGTTTATCTTCATGAATCCGAATTTGACTTTAGAGTCAATAAAGATCCAGTTTCATTTTCACAAGCCATAAAAAGTGCAAATTCTTCTAAATGGTTAGATGCAATGAAAGATGAGTTGAAATCGATGGATCACAACAAAGTCTGAGATATCGTTGAATTGTCTGAAGGTTATAAAAGGGTCGGGTGTAAATGGGTCTTTAAGACTAAGCGTGATTCGAATGACAATATTGAACGATATAAAGCCAGACTTGTTGTCAAAGGTTTCACTCAGAAAGATGGCATCGACTATAAAGAAACATTTTCTCCGGTTTCTAAGAAAGATTCATTTAGAATTATCATGGTACTAGTAGCTCATTATGATTTGGAGTTACACCAAATGGATTTGAAAACTGCC